CAGAAGGTGCAGAGGCTGATGGCAGCCTGCTTTCCTGTTTCCTGGAAGGAGGCTGCCGCTGTTCTACGGGGCCCCACGCCGATGTGCCCCTGCTTCCGCACGGGGGCTCCACCAGCAAGAGTCGCGGGCCGCAGCTCCCGCCTGGCACCAGTGGTCATCCTCGAGCACCCCCAGGGGACGTCAGGGTGTAGGACTCACAGACGAGGCTCTGCATCTACTCCTGGATGACTGGGAAAGGCTGCCCACATGGCACGCTTGCGTTCTGATCACCCACTTGCAAAGCACCGTGGATGTAGGAGGTGGCACGTTAGAGAGGGGTCCCCACAGTATGTAATGCCCCGACACCTGAGCCTCCTAAAACTCTGCCACTTTCTCCTACGAGACTTCTCCCCAGGTCAAACTGACAGTATTGCTAGAGCCCTGTGATAACTGCACGTATACGCCCCTTCTCCATCAGCACCCGTTTTCAGGGTTTGAGTAGACCTTACCACACCAAGAGAAGTTCTCACTGGAAGGTGGCATGCAACCCAAGAATGATCCACATTTATGTTTTGTTTTGGAAAATATCCTCATGCACGGTTTGGAAATACTTAAACATGCAATACTCTTTACACATGAATGTTTGTTTCTTGGTTCACCAGCCAATGACCAACTCAAAAATTCCTTTGGCAGTCTTTGTAAATTATGTTCCATCGGGATGCCGTAACACTATTTTTATACCTTAAAGCAATGGTTCACAAACGGGGGGGTGATTTTGCCCACGGGGCTATATTCGTTTGTAAATCTTTGTTTCTGATTTGACATAGAAGACGAATGCATTAAGCAATAATTATAAATCTCTATTTATGAACACATAATGTAGAAAGATGTCATCCTAATGACAGTAAAAGCACAAAGCAGGGGGTGAGACTGAAGCCCTATCACAGCAAAGTTTCTGTATACTTTTTAAATTATGTTGGCATTAATGCAAACTACATGGTCACCTGTTAAGTTACTAACTGTAATCTTCAGAGCAACCACGAAGAAAAAAACTAAACACACATATAATAAAAGAAACAACAAGAGAATTAAAGTGGCATGCTAGAAGATATCTAGTTAATGTGAAAGAAGGCAGTCGGGGAGAAATAAAGGAACAACAACGAAATAAGACAAACAGAAACAACATGCCATACAAAAATCATATTTTATCAAGAATGGCATTTTATGTAAATGGCTAAAACCTCCCAATTAAAAGGTAAAGATTGCCAGAATGGATTTTAAGAAAGAAAAACAGTATGACCTTACTATTAAGGCGTGATCGCAAGGTGTAGCAGGTTTAAAGGATGGACAAAATATCCAATGTAAACAGAAACCAGAAGAGAGGCAGACACAAGATCCGACTCACGACAAACATCTTTACTAGAGACCACACAAAGAAATCTAATAGAAACAATTTATAGAGAGGTCATTCCAAAGATGCAGCAATTATAAACATGCATGAATTGAGCAACCCAGCCCCAGTTACATAAAACAGAAAGTAACACACACACACAAAAAATTGGAGAAATAGGTAATTCAACAATAGCAGTTGGGAGATTTGGATACCACACTTTTAATATGGGATAGGATTAGATTAAAAAGTAGCAAGGAAACAGAAGAACAGATTTAATGCCATTAACTACTTAAACACCACCAACCAGCTGCACTTAGCAGACATCTATGGAACATTCCATCGAACTGTAACATTACACACCTTCTCCAGGAAAAGGCACCATAACGTAGGAAAAGGCGTATATGAGGCCAAGGCCCCATAAACTTACAAAGGCTTGAAATCATACATCGTATTTCCCCAATCAACAATGAAATGAAATTAGAAGAATAGAAAAAAAAAAATGGGTAAATTCATAAATACGTGGAAAGTAAACAACACGCCTGTGTATTCAAAGGTCAAAGAAGAAATTAGAAGGGAAACTCAGAGATACTGTGGGATGAGTGAAAATGAAAACACAACACCCCCAAACCTATGGGGTGCGAGGAAAGCCGTGCTTGGAGGGAAGTGGTTGACTACAAACACCTATGTTAATGAAGAACGGTCAGAGACGCAGGGCTTGTCGATGGATTTGCGGAAGGGGAAGGGGCTGTGAGCCAAGGGAACAGGGGTAGCCTGTGAGTGGCTGGACAAGGCAAGGGAATCGGTTCTCCCCTACAACCACCAGAAAGGAATGCAGCCCTGTGGACACCTTGATGTTAGCCCGGGGTGGGGGGGGACTGATACGGGATTTCTGCCTTCCACAACCATGCCGACCTAATACATTTACCTTGTCTTACGTCACTTGGTTTGTGGTAAGGAGTTACTCCAGCAACAGGAAACCAACATAATAAGAAACTTTCTCGGCCATCTATTTTCATTTTTTCTTAACTCGACTTGTGTATAATGACTTTTTATTTAAGATTTATTTATTTTTGAGAGAGAAAGAGAGCACACAGCAGGGGGAGGGGCACAAGGAGAGGGAGAGCATCTCAAGCAGATTCCAACTGCCCGCTGAGCACGGAACCTGACATGGGCTTGACCTCACCACCCTGAGATCATGACCTGAGCTGAAATCAAGAGTCGTGCACTCAATGGACTGAGCCACCCAGGCGCCCCTCTAGAGGACTCTTGAGCACATCAAAAACACAGTCTACGAATAAACCTTTCTTAGCATTTCATTCACACGAGCTTTCACAACCCAAGGTCAACGGCAGCTACAGACAGTTCACAAAAGTACGTGTTGCAGCTTCCCCGAGGCTGTCCACCAGATGTTAAAAGAGCACGGTGGCCTCGGTCTTTCTTACCCCTACATCATATTCACCCATGTATAAACCTTATTAATCACCAGGTTCTTTTTTCCCATTTCCCACTGACACATCATGACACTTGCATTTAGTGAATGTCAGTAATTTAAGTTCTTCAATTTTAAGAGACAAATATATGACCACGGCGTTCCAGATGGATTTGTCTTTCTCATGGTTAGATGGAGAAACTCTGTGAAGAATTAGCTTCCGAAAGCTCTGGGCTTCACGGCTTAATGGTGAATCCATATATTCTTATGCCTTTTGAATAAGTGAAAGCCAGGAGCTGTCCTCCACAAAATGCAAAGTTTAAAGACGTTCTTCCCCCAACTCCAAGAACAGCTTTCGTTATCTACCTTTCAGGGGCCTCTCCTGTTACCCGTCTGTTTCTGTCCCTACTGTCGGTACGGAGGAATCCCCTCCAGAGGGCCTGCTGCAACAGGACACCAGTGGAAGCATTACCACGGAGACAGTGCCAAAAACATTTTTGATTTAGGGCGATGCTAATCATTACAAAATCTAGCAATCACGTTGCGGTGAAATCAGCGCTGAACAGCACAAAGAGCTCCTCCTTTGAAGACACAAAGGGCCACACGTAACCGGCATCCTCCTTCGGCTGTTCGGGTGTGCTTTCTGTTCACTTATTTTCCTGGGTGGGTGGGGGTGGAGGAATGTCAGAAAACTCAAGTGTGAAAAGATGAGACAGGAAGACTGGACAAAGTTCGGCGGTACTCCTGTTGGTGCGGCACTCACCGAACAGCCCTGAGCGTCCACTGTCCACCGCCCTGGCGCAGTCTGCCCACAGAACCTCCAGAACGGCGGTCCAGATTGCTGGATCCCTTCACGGTATCAAACTTTCTACATGCCTGGGTGGACTGCTAGGGCTGCCACAACAAAGGAACACAGACTGGGTGGCTTCAACAACGCACGTTTATCCCTCCCAGTCCTGGAGGCTGGGAGTCTGAGATCCAGGCGGGGCCGAGGCTGGTTGCTCTTGCAGCCGTGTATGCGTTCTCCCCGTGGCCTCATGTGGTCGTCCCTCTGTGCGTGTCTGTGTCCTCATCTCCTCTTCTTATAGGGATAGCAGTCCTATGCGGTCAGGGCCCATCCTAGGAACCTCGTTTTACCTTAATCACCTCTTTAAAGGCCCCACTTCCAAACACAGCCCCATTCTGAGGTCCTGGGGGTGAGGATTTCAACATGTGCATCTTGGGGAGTCACAATTCTGTCCACAACACAGCATTGGAGATCTCCATCTATTTGGTTATTTCCTTCTGGCAAAGGCAAAGGCAACCAACCACTTAAAATTACCCCTGTAGATCTTGTTATTCAGGGGGAGGGACTAAGAGAATAATCAAGAAATAAGAATCAAGATCCTTTTTAAAAGAATATGCTCACATACTAGAAACTAGTTTATATATCTCAGATTTTACTGAACTCTACCCAGGATTTCTGCAAAGATCCCAAGAGCAGTAAGGTGTGGGTCCCTCTTTCTACGCAGAGTATGCTGCCGGTATTCAAAAGTAGCGACGTGCAAAGCTTCTTGACCCAAGGGGACAAGCTTTGTATCCTGATTTCCAGCAGGAAAGTGGCAGGTGATGAGAGGCGATCTCTCTGTGAACCCGCAGAGGCTCCTTGGACAGAGAGTGAAGGCTGACTGCGTGTTCAGTCTCTGACTCATGTCAGTATACGCCTTTTATAAGGTGCTACTCTAACTCAAAGTACATGAAAGATACCAGCGTTCCATCAGATGTCATGTTTATAGCCCTCCTTGGGACTTGCTTAAACCTGGGAAGTATAATGAGAATGTAGAGTTCTTGTTGAGTTCAAAGAGTACTGGATTTAAGTGGAAACACATTTACATATATGCTAAAAAAAATGCAAAATCTAATCGGCTGGGTGGCAATGGAAAGAATGTGGTAGAGGACCATTAGTCTCCCCTAATGGACACGTAGCTCATTCAGTGCCCAAAATATTCAGTGACACTTAGAAGAAGGAAGACCACCGAATAAATTCTTGTGTGCTATTTAATATTTTATGACTTATACTCTTTAACTGAATTTGGCCTGTTGGGGCAACGGTGATGTACATAAACGTCGAAATGCACACTCAAAGTACTAATCTTCGCTCACAATTTAAGATGACATTATGGGAACTCTATTGGAACAGTCAAGTGAACTTCACATTCATCATTTTTACAAACTTCATTTATTAGGCCAAAGTGATCGTTGGCTATTTGTTAATTCGTACAAGAGAACCACTGAACAAGGAAATAAAATCTACTGGCTTTTTAAGTGTGGTTTAATGACCATAAAGGTGTTTAAGTTGATAAAAGAAATTGTAAATAGAATCAGACACTGTTATGGCCTCTTAACGGTGATGGCTTAGGTCTACTAACATTAATAGTTCTAGAGAGGCCCTCCGTCCCTCGGCGGTATCAGGGACCTGAGATGGCGTGGGTCCATCGGCCACAGAAGAGCAGAGACTGAGGAAGGAAGAGCATCCATGGCACCGCAGGCGGAGAGTCGTTGCCCCAAGGCCAACCCGTGCTGCCGGCACTCCAAGCTGATCCTGGAATGGAGTTTCCCATATTCAGTCAGAGGTGGGCAGGGACCTTTGGAAATACGACAGCCCCTTGTGTATGAGCAGGGTTTTCTCAACGTGAATCTGGTACCCAGTTTCCACTTAGAACACCTCTATCTGGGAACACGCATTCCCATCACCCAAGTACCACACACCCACCTTACATAAGGCCCTTTATTTACAGGCTAGAGTCCGTGCACACAAGTGATGTCGTGGACAAAATCCAGACAGCCATCAGATGAGAGGGCGAGGCCCACAGTGATGATTCTGTGAAGAATCAAGAATTTGTAAATTAGATTACAAGTTCCCAGCTCCAGCCCCCTTCATCTCTTTTCTGTAACTGGCAACTGGGTATTAGGTTTAATTGCATTTTCAGGTCGACTGTGCGTTCCTCCAGGTGAAATGACAAGGTGAACGTGGTTGTTATGTGGGTAGGTAGGAAAGAGAGTCCTTGGCCTTCGGCAGTTGTGGTAACCAGGGCTTTGAACGTAATGAGAGAAGGCAAGTCTCTATGAGAGAGGTGCCAGGATGTAATTACAGCTCAACACTTCATTAACCACACTTAACAACACTCAAAGATCACAGGGCACACACCCAGTGATGTCCCAGGTTCTGTTCTCATTTCTACGCTCATGTTGGTCGCGTTGTGTTGAAAATGGAGTCTGGGGAGAAGGGAGTGGTCTCATACATCAGATCCAGCGAGTTTCCCCCATCCCTGTATATATATGTACATAAATAGCAGCTATCCGCACCAATGGGCGTGCAATGACCAAGGTTTCTCCACCGATAAACACACTGTGTCTGGGCACTGTTCTAAGTGCTTAGACCCAGAGAGTCCGCAGAACTGGCCTAGATCCAAACCTCTGTGGAGAACACAGTCTAGCAGTCAGTGTTTTGCTCACGGATTTGCTGCCAGCTTCCAGAGTCAGGCTGAGCCCTTCTGTGCCTTCCGGGCGCTGTGAGCATTCCGCCTGTCCCAAGTCCCCACAGGAAAACATAAACTGCATGCAAACACCTTCGCCAGCAATGACCGTCTCTCTGGGAAGTGTCACGTACTCAGTTCATCCGAGGGAACAGCCTGTAACTTTCCCTCCGCCTACAATGCCCTGTCTCGTTGAAGGACTGAGACCCTTTCAAAGGGCATGGGAGGACTTTGCACGCTGACATGTCCATTTGGGCTGGACCCAAAATGGCAGGCTTTGGCGCAGGGCTTAAGGAGGAATCAGAGGGCCGATGGGAAGCCTGAGAATGATGAAGGATCCCGACCTGCTCCCTCTGTGCCCGGTCACACGCTTTCCTTCTGGCTTCCAAATCCATTTCTTTTTCTCTATTTCCATGCAAAACTGAACAAAGCAAAGCAAGACACATGGTAGAACAAGATGTGTGGAAGTCAGTGTAGCTGATGCCCAGATCCTGCCTTCCCAGACCCATGACCCAGCTCTGTGAGTGTTTGCACTGCATGTGGAAAGGGGGGCTTCAAGATGTCAACTTGAACTGCCTTCCAGGGACTGCCACCAGACAAAGATGGGCCTAGATGGATGGCCATTGGTTTTGGTTTTCTTGGCAGGGTGTCAGCTTCAAGGGTTTTCTCTGTGTCAAGTGGGAAACCATGGTAGTTTCCCTCCATGACGTCCATCTCAAAGTTGCCAAACCTTCAGGCGACTGAAACTCCACGTGTGCACATGCCCACAACAGAACTCCTCACTTCTGTTGTGCTTTATTTATTGCTTCCTCTAGTGTGTACTTCAGGACAAGACACTGCTGTTCAGCCAAGGTGGGAAGGAATGCTGGCCACCTCCATCTCCCTGGGTCCCTGCAAGCCCCACCATGAACTAAACAGCCTCTGAATCAAGCCTCTCCTCTTCCTTCCATGCCAACCCTATGCGTCCTTGCAGCTCTCAAAAAGATGCACCCATGACCTGCCCACCTGGAGCCTGTGCATGGGACCTTATTTGGAAAAAGGATCTTTGCAGATGTGATTACATCAAGAATCTCAAAATGATATCATCCTGTATTTGCTGGGTGGGTCCCAAATCCAATGACAGATGTCCTTATAAGAGACGCAAGAGGAGTCACAGACACAGAGGAGAAGCCACCGTAAAGACCGGGGCAGAGATCGGAGGGACGTGGCCACAAACCCAGGAATGCCCGGAGCCCCCAGGATCTGGGAGAGGCAGGAAGGGCCCTCCCCTGGAACCCTGGGAGGGAGCACAGCCATGGCCACACCTTGATTTCGGACTGTGGCCTGCAGAATCGGACGACTGCACGAGCCTCCGAGCCCGAGGTCTCCCTGAGCGTAAGCCTTGGTCATGCACATCATCAAATACACCTTGCCAGAGCACCCTGTCCCCCTGGCCTGGGATACTTTTCCACCTTCTTCCTCCTCCACCTAACTTACTCCTCTAGCTCTAGCTCAGAGCACGGGATGAATGTTCTAGAAGGCACCCTGGGCTGCTGGCCCACTTCCTCTTCCTGACTCCCAAGGAAACTGGGTCAGCTCAGCAGACAAATGACAATGCAGCAGGATGGAGGAAGTCTGCTTCCCCCAATGCACAACCTACTGCAGCCCTGACCATGTCCCTGGAAGCACACGGGTGGATCTACTCCTGGTCTCAGTACCCGGCATTTGGGGGGCCGGTTAGCAAAGCCTGTGGGATCCACAAACTGAATGAACGCACTGACCACCTCTCTCTCCTTGAGAGTCCTTGTGGATCCGACCTATCACGCTTTCCTTAAGCTGCTTTGAACCTAAACCTCTACCCCCAAACAAACCCTCAACAGCAGAGTGCCACCTGTGTTCAGCCATCTGGACGGACCCACGTACAGGCTGGCCGCCTGAAACCACCTTAACTGCCTTGGATGGCTGGCTACCTGTCTCGTTCCAGTGACCCAGTGGGTGACTTCAAATGCCTTTATCAGGCTCCTGGCCATCAGGCAAGGTCCGCACAACTGGTTGGACAAGATGGCTGCTGAGATACGGCTGGAGCCTTCCGGAAGGGACCAGCTGGTCAGGCCGCAACTGGCAGAGCCAGAGATGACTTCCACGTTTGTGCTATGAGCACATAGCCAAGCACAAAAAACGCAGCCCACAGGAGAGGGCACCACACGAACCACGGGGAGAGCTGACCGACTGCTTCTATCTGCACCACGCTCTTCCTCTTGGAAAGGAATCAGGGACCCGTTCATGGCCAAATTCCTCAAAGGAATGTAGGCACATTCTCAGGGAAAGCTGCTGGTGAGGGCTACACTCGTCATCCAAATGCTCCTGGGTGCCAGGATCCTGCAGTTCCACCCACAGGAGTACCCGGACTCCAGCATCGCCAGTGGTGTTTGGGGGGGGAGGAGAGCTGACAGACCTGCCCTTGAGCAGACCTGCTTTCAGTGATCTGTTGCCTCTCTCTGCTGTAAGTGTGAGGGGGGCCTGAGGCCACGTGTGTGATGGGGGCACCCGAGGCCAGGCATGTCTGATGGGGGGGCCCAAGGACGCACGTGTGACGGGGGGCCGAGGCCACGTGTCTGATGGGGGGGCCATGGCCATGTGTCTGATGGGGGGGCCCGAGGCCGCACGTGTGACAGGGGGGCCTGAGGACGCATGTGTGACCAAGGGGCCCGAGGACACACGTGTGAGGGGGGCACGAGACTGCTCCCAAGAGCGCGGGGCTGGTAGGAAAGTCTCTGGACGGGCACTGGTTCGGGGAGGAAGCCACTGAGAGCCTAGAGAAAGGCAGTGGCCATCGGAAGGACGTAGAAATGGCTCTGGAGTACTTAGAAGTAAGTACTGAACTGCTTTGGGGGTGGGGCAGAGGGTGAGGAAGGGAAGATTCGCAGGAAAGTCCCAGTCTCTGCACGTGTGGCTCACAGGAAGGCAGGAGAAGAGCAGATCAGGCAGGGAATTCTAGGCTCCGTGTGAGATACACGGTGTATCCAGGTAGGGTTGCATGGTGTTGACCAGGAAGTGTGGGTGAACGCAAGAGACAGGGGAAGGCAGACCATGGGGTCAAAGAGTCCTGAAAGCAAGAGCGTTTGCTGAAGCCAGTTCACAAGTGATCTCCAAGACACAGAGGGGGTCCAAGCCAGTCACCAGGCCCCCACATGAAATTAAAGAGAAGAGGAAGGAGTGAGGAAGACAGAAGAGGCATGGTCCTGGAAGCCTGAGACAGATTCCCAAGGACAGAGTGGAGAAGCGGCACCTGACGCAGAAAGTTCCTGAACTGTAAGAAAATTGTGCCTAGTGGATGTGGCAACACAGAAGTCACTGCTCCCTTCGTGGGCACAGCTTCTGTGGGCCGTGGCGTGGAAGCCAGCTCTCAGGAAGATGGGGCAGGGAGGCAGCAGGGGCTCAGAGTGCAGCTGCCTTTCCAAGAAACTTGGCAAAGTGGAAATGGGGGAAATGCACTCTGGCTGGACCAGCAGGTTGAAGCAGCATCTCTGTTTCCGTGTGAAGGGCAGACGTGGCATGCTTTATGCTGACGCATGCAAGCGTTAGAAATAAGGAATGAGCAGCTGCGATTCATCCCGAAGAAAAGGCAAGCATTTCCTCCCTCGAGGAAGGAAGGGCCAGGAACTCGGTCCAGGAGGAGGCATGGGCGTGAGGAGGACCATTCCCTGCCCTGCCTGGAAAGAGGAAACCATGCCGGCAGATTCCTGTGAACTTACCGCGACATAGCACACTGATGAAGAGGCCACTTTAGAAGTACACCCCCAAATTCAGGACCCCACTCTATTCCCAGCCCCAGCAGCACAAGCAAGAGACTGTAAACACCAAAACGTCCGGTATTACAGAAGCGATTACACAAATATGGGAAGCTCTTCATGCACAGAAGGGCCATCCTCCTACTAAGCAGCATGTTATTTTACTTGATCGAACAATACACCCTGATAGGATAAAGAAGGGCATAACGTATTCAGATGATTAAATCTCTTCTGCAGAATCATATTAAACAGTGCACTAAGGGCCCTGGGTCACATATCAACGTGGTCTTTGATCTAACCGTCTTTGTATTTGGATAAGCCTCTAAAGTCCGAGAAGACGGGACACCGTGTCCATGATATGCTGAAGATACACATGGCTCCAAGCCTGCCCACAGAGATGCAGAAGTTAGGGTTTCTACTCAGCTCCACAACAAGCTCACGGGGCTGGCCTGCCTCAGTTTCTCTTTAGGGAGGACAAGGTGCTTCGATTCTAAATCTCAAAGTCCAGGATAATGCCACTCTGAGAAGCCAGGCACCTAAGCGTGCCATATTAAAAGCTGATTCATGGTCATCAACATGAGTGCACAAAGCTCAGAACAGAGTGACAAAGTGGCTTTAAAGTTTACCTTGATTATAGTCAATAATCAATTTAACCAAAGGAAATGCTTCATGTAAACACATGAAGAAGGGAGGGATGTTTGAGTGGCTCTGCAGTTTAAGCGGTTAAGCATCTGCCTTCGGCTCAAGTCATGTTCTCAGGGTCCTGGGATTGAGTCCCGCATCGGGCTCCCTGCTCAGTGGGGGGTCTGCTTCTCCCTCTGCCTGAGCTCCTCCTGCTTGTGTTCCCTCTCTCAAATAAATAAATAAAATCATTTTCTAAAAAAAGACAAAGGAGGGGAATGAAGAGATGTAGAGTGAAAATAAGCATGCACTACAGGAGTGTACTGAAGTCAGCAAAATGGTGGGTATTTAATGCAATCCAAGAGTATCTGTGGCCAGAACAAAACTATGAGTAACATCTTGCTGCAGGAAATGTTTCTTCAATAACCATGTGATTTTTGTTTTTAAAAGCAAGAGCTACAGGGTTTCCAGGGTCTTGAA